GAGGGAAGGTTTAAGTTGGACATCAGGAGGCGCTACTTCACGGTCAGGGCGGCTAGAGTCTGGAACCAGCTTCCAAGTGAGGTGGTGCAGGCTCCCACCCTGGGGGTTTTTAAGAGGAGGTTGGATGACCACCTTACTGGGGTCATTTGACCCCAGTGCTCTTCCTGCCATGGCAGGGGGTCAGACTAGATGATCTGCTCACGTCCCTTCCGACCCTAGAAACTATGAAACTATGAAACCATCAAATGGATATGGAACAGAAACTAGTGTTATTTCTTCTCCATTTGTAACTTCCAGGGGGGTGCATTGCATGTGCAGTGAACTCTCTGAGCTCACCACCACGTCAGTACAGCTCCTGTCAGAGTTTCACATGGCTTCAGAGCTCTGAGCTCACCAACTGGTCACCATAGGCTCTAGACAGAGGCCCTGCTTTCACACAGCTCCAGAGCCCAGAGAGGCACTGCTGTTCACTCTCCCTTCTACCCATGCCCTCCCCACTGACACTCACCCCCTGGGCTCCAGAGTCAGGTGAAAGCAGGGGTGGAGCACTGCTGCCACTCCTCTTCACTGAATTGTGCAGTAGGGCAAAAGAGGCGGGGGGAACAAGAGGAAGGGATGGCAAACAGTGGTGATGTTCACCTTCTGGGCTCCAAAGCTGTGTGAAAGTAGACCATGTACCAGTCAACTGGTGAGCTCAGTGCTCATGGCACATGCGGAGCTGCGATAGGAACTGTGCTGATAGGCTGGTGAACTCTCTGACATCCAGGATCACACTGAGTGGCATGCGGTCACACAGTGAGCTGAGCTGTGCATGCACCACACCCCTTGACACTCCCTGAGAACCTGGGACCACCCACAGTGACTTCCATGTCAAGTATGCTCAGATTTTTTCTTTCTCCCATCAGCTTTGCTAATTCAGTCTGGCATCTGAGATCATACCTAAGCCAGGACAAACAACTCTGAACTGAAAAAAGATGGAATAAGTAGTCAAAGAGGATGACCAAGATTAAACAAGACAAGGAGAGATTGTACAAAATTACTGTGGAAAGGAAAGGCATAATAATTCCAGGATCTAGTCACAACTTGTCACTTGGTGAGAAGAAAGTAATGCCCGTATCATATACTTACTGAAAGAAAGAAGCAGCAAAGGGATACTTTCTAGAAAGCACTGCTGTGCTTGAAGTACAAATACTGCATAAACAAGACTCACACAATTTAAGTATATTTTGTTTGGTAATACATAACTGGTTTCCCTCTAAGTAGTGACTTCTGTACACATTTTGAATAAGAAGGAAACAGTAAGTGAAACAATCTTTACATAAACTCCATAATTTCATGTGCCTTGAAAAATTTTGCTCTGGTCATCTGCAGATGCTGCTCCCACTGAAATTAGTGAGAATCCTACCAATACTTCCCAAAGAAGAATTATGATCACAGTGTTTGACTATAATCAGGAGGCACGTCTATATGAGATGTTTACTGTGCAGTAGACAAATCAGCTGCTCAGTAAACGTCTTGGCATCTACATGTGTGCCCTAAAAACTCAGCAGCAAACTACACAGTAAAACCCTACAGTAAAAAACTCCACAGTAGCTCATGTGTAGATGCTGACCCAGATGGTTGGGGCATAAGAGTGCTTCAGTGTGGGGACTGCCTTCCAACTAGCCCTACACCGAAGCACCCTGATGCACCAGCCCCTCAACAGCACGTGAGCCGAGGGGAACAGCCCTAGGCTGGCAGGCTGACCCCCTGGGCCCCCTGCCAGCCAGGGCTGCTCCAACCTGGCTCAACATGCTGCACTCCCAGCCACATGTGAAGACACAGTGCCCAGGAGCAATAAACTCCAGAGCAATAAGCTCCAGTTTATTCATGTGCATTAATATGCACATGTAGATATGCCCAGGGTGATATAAATTCACCTCTTTAGTAATTTGGTGAATGAAAAAATGCAGTAAGTTGTTACCACAAAGCTTGAATTTAAAAGGCACTGCTTGGAAGACAAAGAGTAGATTGTTTTGTAGTTCAGACTAGCAAAACTGTGCTCACTGTAGAATTTAAGAAATAATCGTTTGCATGAAGGAAAAACAAAAACAAATTAATTTACCTATTATGGATCTCATTTTTTTAACTGGGAAGCACACCAAAGGGAGAAATAATACATCTCCAGCTGGGGCAGTTTGGCATTAAGCCAATTAAACCAGGGACTAGCAACATACAACCCACAGGCTACATCCAGCCTGCAGAACCACTTGATCTGCCCTGCACATGTGCCCATATTAGGGCTGGACAGCGAGGGGCTGTGCTGCGACTGAAAGCTGCACTTGAACTGTTGCCCCTTCTCCTTGTCTCCCACTCCCTCTAACTCTCAGCTGGTGCGTGGACACAGCTTTCAGCCACTAGGGACCAGGCAGCTTCCAAGTTCACCAGTCCCACAGCCAGGAGTCTGGGCACAGGGAGAAGCAGCAGTAGTGTAGTTTCCAGCTGCCCAGCCCTGGCACAGCTCCACACCAGCTAGAAGTTGCACTCATGCTGCAGTCTGGGAGCAGAGAGCAGGGAGGAGCGATGGTGGTGTGGGTACAGCTCCCAGATGTTTGGCCCCCTGTCGCTGATACTGCTGAAACCGTTTGGCCCATGTTGAACCGGGTTGTTCCAGGCTGTGGTTTTTAAAGGTTGCCAGCTGTTGATTTATATCAACACTGCTTCAAGGATTTACATCATGTGAGGGTCTGTCCTTAAATGTCTTAAAGTGCCCCAGTAGATACTAATTGAATGTATATTGTAAATTTTAAGCAAGTGGCTCAGTGAGTATAAAAAAATATTTACCACTATACATAGTACTTACTTGTTTGCAAAACACCACTAAAAAAATCAATTTATTAGAAAAAATGATTATGAAAAAATTGAGGGGAAAAATCATCATTTCCCAAACAGAAGTGAAAATGTGCTGAACAGTGCAAGTTTTGGAAGTCTCAGGCCTCTGGCAGATATTATATTTATGGCGCAATTAATATGTTAATTGCACAATAATTTAAAACATGCCACACATTCATCCAATTCATTGTGCGTCTGGCATGGCAGGAGACACACTTTTTGTGATGAGATATAAAATTCTTCAGCTCCAAATGGCATCATTATTTTAATGTCTGCCAGGGTCCTTAGACTGGACTAACCAATTGTTGGTTGCCACACTGACTAGGTGGCATTGAGAGGAAAAAAAAGAAAAGTGTATGACTGCATTCAGTGAGGTATGTTTTCCACTCTTGTAGTCTCCAAAAAAATGGATGCTGTTTGTTTTTTTTTCCACAGCACTTATTACCTCAAATACATCAAAAACAGATTTAAAATGTTCTAAGCTAAATTGCATAACCTATCTAATCAACAGCTGGAACTGACTTAAATCTTCAAATATTTAAAGTACAAATACCAGGGAGGGGGATGAATTACTCACATAATAAAAGGGTTAGGAAATTTAACATTCAACTCTTGTGAAAAGCATCTTGGTAAATTCTATTTAGCCTATGTAAGCAAAAAAATCCCTTCTTTTGACACATTTAAAACTTTACTGCACTAAAATTGGACTACTAGAAAAATGATCTAATTTTAACGCTTCTAATCTCTACATTTCCACAGATAGGTAGATGCAAAAGGGAGAGTCGGGTCCAAATAGTTTATATCACCAGAAACAGGGCACAAGAAATCTGAGGATAACACTTTTACTATTGATGAATTTGAATATCACAGTATCTAGGTTTTAATGCTATGTAACTTTTCTTTAAATGGTATCACCTCCTAAATGGTTTTACCTCTTTTTCAGGTACTAGAAGACAGTGAAGGAAGAGGAAAAGCCACCCACTTAACTACAGCAATTTTAGAGGCATCATCAAATGCTCAAATAGATTTAACCTAATATCCTAATCATCACATTTTTAACTATCCTGTTGGGTGTTCAGAGAAAATTACTTCTTCTTGAACCTTGCAGCAATTGAAAATCCCTCATTTGGCTTTTTTTAACTCCACTTTGCACTGAGAATAAATGGTTTCAAAAGTGTTCATGAACAGATTTTTTTCCCCTTCTCTGGCTTGAACAGTGAATGGCAGAGCTCCGAGTCTGAATAAACAGTGTGGGTGGTGACTGTTCTGTGAGGCCCATGTAAAGGATGCAATCATTTTCTTATGCTGTTCAGCATTAAATCATGTGAAACTAGCTTGATTGCCACACATAACATTCACTTTGTAGCAGAATGTAACATGCCATGTATTCTTTCCTAACTTTGGAGGGAAAAATAATAATTAATTCTCCTAGCTTCAAGTGTTTAATTGTGTATAAAGTTCATTGACCTCGCTAGTTGCTGTCAGATGATCTTGCTAAGGCCTGTGAAAAACATCCCAGGAATGCAGTGATGTGGGCAGAAACAAAGTGAGTTCATGCCACAAAATGCTTTAAATGGAACAAAATCAGCAGCCATCCAGAGAGACTGCACTGAAAACAGAACTTCAGAATAATCATGGGTTTAACCTCACCTAAGCAGGGTAGTCCTTCAAAAGTGATTATTATAAATCATATACTTTAAAACAATCCTTTCAGGATCTGGCATGTGACTACATGAAGTAACTCTGTTTACTGGTAATCCCCTAGCTGACTGGAAATGAATGCACTGGAGAGGCTGGGATGTCTAGGACACAAGACCAAGAACGAGGCGATCTGCTTGTTTCCAGGTCCATAACCTGTTCGAGTGAGATTAAATGTGACCTTAGGTAGGGCACTAAGCCATTGTGTGAATCAGTTTCCCTTCCAGGAAAGTAATGATGGTTACCTCCATTTATACAGAGCTTTGAGATCTACAGATGAAAAGTATTGTTGATAATAATGAACATGTATTTGCCTATATGTAATTTTTATCCCTGTCATTACAATCTAGGCTGGAGGAGAGCCGCTTTTTTCATATGCTGTAATTAGCTAGGTAGAAGCAAGATGAATCTGTTCTAAGGTCAACATTAAAATATCAGCTGCACTCTCACACAATTCAAAATATACATTTCTAATTCAAGGGGACATGGCAGCCTAATTTTATTAAGAAACGTCACATAAACTACTGCAGATACCGCTTATACTAAGCCTTAAATATTAATATAGGTTGAAAGTATATGCAGCAATCTATATTAGAAGCTATGTTCTTTAGGATGAGGGTATTTTAATACAGCTCTTAGCATAACTGGCCCCATATCCTAACTGGGCTTATAAGCAATACAATAATATAAATATTAATTAATAGAAAAGCCTGAAAACAATGCTGTCCAGCATGGCTGGGACTTCAACCAGCTGATGCATGTCTGTGTATTAAGGGACATGGTCCTAAAAGTCTCTGTGGTGAATAAGCTGCAGTTTACTTCAGTTCAATTTTTCTTTTCCTATATGCCCCCTATGGAGTCTGACAATGTGACTGGCAAAGCCTGTGTTGCAACTCAGCATGCCTCATGTTGGTGTACTTTTTCACAGTCATTGAATCCCCCATGGTGATTTATATGAGACGAGAACATATGGCTCATAGGCAATAGCATGGTAGTACAGAAGCCAGTTTGAAATTATGACCTACAAAAATGGCCTGCATTATTTTGTAGTATACCTACTGCTTTGTTACCCCTTTTTGTCAATCCATCACAAACAGTTTTATCTAAATCCCTTCTGATATACTACTAGCACTCTTTTCTCCATGGCTTAAGATGACTGCCTCTAGTACATTCTGAAATAAGTAACTCTAGTCAGACTAGGTTTTTTTTAGTCAATTGGTTCATTTTGGTGACCATGGTGAACATAACAGGCTTGGATTATAACTTCTACCATCTGGAATTAAATCTTCTTCACAGACAGATAAAACCAGATCATAGCCATATTAAATTCTGGATTGTGATTATGATCTCTCTTGGTATTAAGCGATAAAGCCATACCTCAAAAGAATATCAGCTTAAGGAAACCTATACTATTAAATGCATTGGAAAAGATGTACAGTAAGTTGTCATTTGCTGTGTATTTTATTCCCTCATTGTAGAATACAATAATGCCCTTAATCTTTTGTGGAAATACTTCAGTGGAGCTTTTTACTCAAAAATAAGTGCATTATTTAAAATTTACGTTTACTCTATATTTCTTCTGTTACAAGTATTGTGGGTGTAAGCATAAGTGTAACAAGTTAATATTTGTGAGAGAAATAAGGTGAAGTATTTTGAGGACAATGGGGCCTCTGAAATCAATCAGTTCCAAGGCTGATGCCAGGCATTTCATGCTTTTCACAGATGACGGCATATTGGGTTGTTTTTGTAAACAACAAAAGGTCAAAGAAATACTTGTATAGCTGCAAACATAAAAGCAAACTGTAACCTACCTGCCTGCCTGGAAGTTGCAAAATATCAAGTAAATTGAAACTGACCTACAAAGAATATACCACTTTGTAACACATTGTAAAACATTTTAATACTCAATAGGATGCAATTCTTCCTTTTTTAACATTAGGATAATTACTGAAGCAAATCCTGTAAGCAAATTTAATACTCAAACATGGCTGAGCAAAACACACTTTCAAAGATGATCATGCCAACTTAGATTCATTATAATAACTTCCAAAATTAATGATAAATATTCTGAAATAGGGAACTATAAATCATTGCAACCCTACTAATTCCAATAGTAATAATTGAATAGAAGAAAATGAGAGCCAAATTTGATTATGTAATTTCATAAGGTTTGCTGCTTCCAAACAGCTGCGAAATGAAAATCTGGTGGAAAGAATTATGAAGAAATAATCTTACTTTATAAGATTATACAACACATTGGTATAAAGATCATTCCTGACCTGAAAATACCACTCTCTTTTGTTAGCTCCTTAAAAATATTACTAAGAATGTAAAAACTAAATGGTACTATAAAGGTACAAATCTACCTTCCTTTCTGCTAGACTTTAGACTAAGATGCTCTCTCTGCCCCCTTACAGGACTGCATTTTGTGATCCAAAATCCAGTCCAGGAAATCTAAGTGGTTCTTAAAACAATGCCCTTGGTCTACCAAAATAGTTAAAACTTCAGTCGCGTCTGATACTGAAAACCATCTTGAATTCCCCCTTCTTCTTCCACCATCATTTATAAATCCAGCATGATTTAAGCAATCACTAGTTAAAGCATTCTTCTGTATCACTTGAAAACTAGCACTCCAAACTTTGTGAGCATATAAAGAATTACTTGATTTAGCAAATAGATCTTGACACAATGGATGCAGTGATTATACTGGAATTTGAATTAACATCACAAGCATTGTCTATCTCATGTGTGTGTCTGTACTTGCACATATATATTTTTACTGTATCTTGGGATATAGTTGAACTAGAAACAAATAACTTATACTGTTGCAATCATAGCCCAGCAATTTCAGTACTTCAGAGATGTAAGTTATTTGTTGTCAATAATTTATGAAATATTGGACCTCAGAATTGTCACTGTTACCTTGCAAGGTTTTTTGCCAATAGCCCATGTCTGAATATGGCACGCCCAGATCCTCCGACTGTCAGAAATATTGAGTCCCTGTTCATTTGTAGTTAAAGTATGAGAAAGGTTTAATTCGATGAAAATATGGTACTATTGACTCCTCAGAAACACACGGACATATCCTCTACTAATGTAGCTCCCATGAGTCAATGGAGCTATGCTGATTTACAGCAGATGACCTTAATGCCTGATCAATACGTGAACGGCAAACTCAGGATTTCCATTGAGACACAGTATTTAGAAAACAATATGGACTCACAGGAAAAAATAACTAGAGATGTTACTATTATTTCAAGGCATGCAAGTTAATGGACTCTTAGCTCACTGGATCAGACCTTGGATTTTCATGTCTAGCCTGCTTGTTTTAAATCCATTTTCCAGTCCCCTATAAAATGAGTTCTGATTAAGTCTGCAGAGTATTTTAAACACATAAATTTGTTCTATGCTGTAGCTACATCAAAAAAATAGATGCAATTCTACACTTTTCGTATCTGAAAAATCAGAAGCGAATTCTGAAAAGGAACATAAACAATGATCCACTTTGGTCAGTAACAAAAATTCGCCAAATAAATGGCTCAACAGGCTAACCAGTTGGAGTTACTAAGCTAAAAGCTCACCTCTGAATACTTGTATTACATTATCCGCAGCCAGAACTGGCTTAATCTTTCTTAACTGCTACAGTGGAAAGAGAGATGAGAGGTCTACTCTACCATGGAAAGTCTTACTCTTATTTTCTCCCAAAATGCTAAATGATATTTAAAAAAATCATATTTGTCATCCTTTTTCATCCTTATTTAGCTGGCTATCCTCCTGTATAGCAATAGTAGTTCTTTACATATGCATATATATATGTATTTGAATATACAGCATCTTTCCCCTAAGGATTATCAGCATTTGTGAATTATGGGGCATAATGACCGGTGCAGTAGGTAAATACCCACTTTATAGATGGGAATAAACTAGCATGAAAAGGTAAACAGACAGACTCCCAAAGTCACAAGGCATAATTAGTGGCAGAGTTAGCACTCCGAGTTTCTTGCTCTAATTACAAGAACACATTTCCATCCCAGGAGAAGGTCTAGAAAGATCCCAGTGCTAAGTGTTGATGATGGAAGTAATTACCTCTAGTCAATAAAATTAAAGGGTACACTCTATGAGGTTTATCTGATGGGTAAAAACCTCATGATATAATCCATGTATTCACTGTCTGTGGATGAATTATATTTAATTTCCACATTAAATTGCCAATTTCTCACAATCTTAAATGTTCACCATAAAATGAATATAAACAACAGGGCCGTTCCTTTTAGCAGAAAATAGTCAGGAAAAGAAAAGTGAATCTATTTCATGCAGGGTGCAAAAAGACATTGGCCTTGTGTTGCCAAAAACATGTTTATGGTGGCACAAGTTGCAAACAGAAGTCCTTGTCCTTTGTCACACTCCAAGTGCCCAAAAGTCCTTGCCCGACAATTCCAGGTAACAGTTCATCATGCCTTAATATGGAGTATGTCGTAATATAGAGTTTTATTGTGTGATCCTCACAAATCAGTGCTTCCAGGGCTCTCCAGCCAGCCTGTGCAGGCAATTCTGGGCCATATGTTTCACACTGCAGAACAAGAGAACCCCATGGGGTTCCCCAGGCCAGAACCAGGCACCCAGGCTAGAAACCCAGGCACCCAGGCCCACAGGAAGCCCAAACAGGAGGAGTCTGATCCTGCAAGACAATGGCCCCAGGTGACAACTGTACCTGTCAATCAACTGGATCAGCTGTGCCATGATACACCCCAGCACAGCCGGTCCCAAGACAAAAAGGACATCTGTTTGAAGCCACACAATACCACAGCAATTAACACTTCAATTTAATCCATCACAGAAGCAATCCAAAGAGAGAAGAAAAAAAAACAATAGGTAATGTTACAGCTGAAATCTGACTTGTTCCATAGCTCTAGTTGTTTTTAATGTTTTTTCCATCTTTTTTGGGGGGGAGAGGAAGAGGGAGGCGAGAAAAAGCCTGAATTTAAATTTGTATTACCTTTGCAATCATGTGTTGTATAGGTTCTTTCTTGACCATGTACTGCTACACAACAAGATTCTGCCTGCAAGAACATGGGTCAATTCAACGGTGTAGCTCCACAGCCAGGGACCAAAGGCACAGGGGCAGTAGCAACTTCTGGTTGCCACCACATCACTGGCAGGCTTGCATGGCTGCCAGCAGCAGCTATATTTTTTTTGCAGCCTTCCACACCTATACATTGGTGCCTGAGGTGGTTTTCCTGATTGCCCCATTCTTGAGGGAAGGTACCATAATTTCAAGAATCTGTCAGCAGCCAAGGCTAGAAATTTTCTTTAAAAAAATGAAAGTTGGGATTCTGATGCAACACATTACAAGACTTTGAAGAAAACTATCAACCACTGAAACTCATGATAGACTTCACAAGAGTTAGCAACACCATCCAGGGAAATACAGTTGCAATGTAGTCTGAAAAGTACCAGTAGATGAAATCCAGGAGGCCATCAGAACACACTTAGAAATGCTGTTGAAAGGTCTCAGATTCCTGCCTGAGAGGTCCCTGAAGTACAGTAAAGGTAACTAAACCAGAAAGTCAACAAATAGACTGTTTCAAAATTGAATGATTAATCTTTATTTCATAACTGAGCTTACTGTTTTGGGTAATCCCCAGGGTAACTCTCTCTAATACCAGATAACTACCAATGGATGCTTAGGAGGTTTTGTATAGCTTGGGGATTTTTCTTAAAGTATTTTAAAGTCAGATATGAATGTCTATTGGTAAAAAAACACAGTGACTGAAACTGAAAGCAAGGGTATTATGCATCTGTATTGTATTTGTTTTGCTGTACTTTAAAGAAGAAAAATTCAGACATTACTGGCTGGTACATGGAAATGTTATTTCGACTTAAAGCTGTGGGTACCCTGCATGAATCCATATGCCTCAACTGCCTTGTTAGCAGTTTGAGTTTTTGCAAACAGAAGAAGCCAAATTCCCCCTTCTCTCCCTACCAACTTTAAAATATGTCTAAAATATATCATTGGGGTCAAAATGAGCTGCTGTGAAATGGACTGCTGTTGCATATTTTCTTCAATCGGTTTTAAAAATTAAATTCTTAAACTGCATAATTTACTGAGTGAACTTAAATGTGATCTTATGCAATATGATATTTGTCGATCTACAGGCAAGGGGACAGACCAGGACAGCGGTAAGTGGTGGAAACTGCTCATATTTATCACTGAGGCTACAGGCACATGCTCTTTTGTAGCACTGAAAAAGTAAAGTGCCATGGGAGCGAGAATACGTTCATAAACCTCCTGGCTGGAGTGCTCCAAAGTTGCCTCAAAGGTGTGCTCTCCAGCTAGAAGTCTGCTCCTTTGTTCCCCCTGCCCCCAGTCTGATCATCCCTGGGGAAGGTGACAGGCTGTTAGCAATCAGCTGGAAGTTGTTGGAAAGTAGCAGCTGTCAAAGACAGTCCTCCGCTGCTCTCCTCTCTTCCACAACCTCCCCAGTTAGGTTTGGAAGTGGAGGAAGGGAGGGAGTACGGAGAACCATCTGATGCAGGGGTGATCCAAGGAGCCCCG